GAGAGCTTTTTTGAGTTTCTAGTCAAATTTAGATTCCTGGGCAAAAATCCTGCGGTCTGATTGGCGTGAAATTTGCTCCTGTTTAACAGTCAAGTGTCTTTTATAAATGGACTAAAAGACAACGCTTTACCTGCTCTAGTTTGGGCGGGAAGTTTTTTTGAGGTTCTGGCTCTGCCTGAGAGCTTTTTTGAGTTTTGAGTTAAATTTAGATTCCTGGCAAAGAATCCTGCGGTCTGATTGGCGTGAAATTTGCTCCTGTTTAACAGTCAAGTGTCTTTTATTAATGAACTAAATAACAACGCTCTACCTGCTCTAGTTTGGGCGGGAAGTTTTTTTGAAGTTCTGGCTCTGGCTGAGAGCTTTTTTGAGCTTCTAGTCAAATTTATATTCCTGGGAAAAAATCCTGCGGTCTGATTGGCGTGAAATTTGCTCCTGTTTAACTGTCAAGTGTCTTTTATAACTGGACTAAAAGGCAACGCTCTACCTACTCTGGTTTGGGCAGGAAGTTTTTTTGAAGTTCTGGCTCTGCCTGAGAGCTTTTTTGAGTTTTGAGTCAAATTTAGATTTCTGGCAAAGAATCCTGCGGTCAGATTGGCGTGAAATTTGCTCCTGTTTAACAGTCAGGTGTTTTTTATAAATGGACTAAAAGGCAACGCTCTACCTGCTCTAGTTTGAATGGGAAGTTTTTTTGAAATTTTGGGTCTGCCTGAGAGCTTTTTTGAGTTTCTAGTAAAATTTAGATTCCTGGGCAAAAATCGTGCGGTCTGATTGGCGTGAAATTTGCTCCTGTTTAGCAGCCAAGTGTCTTTTATAAATGGACTAAAAGACAACGCTTTACCTGCTCTAGTGTGGGCGGGAAGTTTTTTTGAAGTTCTGGCTCTGCCTGAGAGCTTTTTTGAGTTTCTAGTCAAATTTAGATTCCTGGGAAAAAATCCTGCAGTCTGATTGGCGTGAAAGTTTCCGTGGTCCAACAGACAGGTGTCTTTTATAAATGGACTAATTCACAAGTCTCTACCTGTTCTAGTTTGAAGACTAGGCATTTGTGAACGTCAGCCGTTGTCTAAGCGCTTTAATCAGTTTCTAATCAAGTTTCACCTCCTGGAAGAAAATCTGCCGTCTGATTGGCGTGAAAGTTTTC